CCAGAACATTTCTTGCTGTTGTGAGAGACCCTTCATTGGTCTTCCCTCTGCCATGACAATTGGCAATGTTCCAGATGTTGACTTCAGGTTCAGTCTGGATCCCAGAGGATGATGAAGTGGGAACAAAGCTCCCATCCAACCTTTTTTTTTTTTTTTTTTTTTTTTTTTTTTTTTTTTTTGATACCAGCCCACCTGCTATTGATCAATCTGCCTTTGTCCAGAGGCCCAGACCACTCCACTAGGGAGCTGGGGTCCAATCAGGGCTTGGAAGGAGGCCCCAGTTCCCCACTGACTAATCTGCTAAGGTCAGCAAAAAACATGGGCCTTCCTTAAGAGCAGCTCAACAATGGGAATCTTAAGACAAACTACAAATAAAAAATTAGCATGTGAAAAACAAGCTGGGCAACACTGATGGCATTTGCTAATAGTCATGTCACCCTCAGGGAAATTCCACTGTCTGGAAACACTCCTCTCTCCCCACTAGTGCCCAAACCAGGGAAAACTTATGCCTGAGTGAAATTCCCCCAAATTATCTCAGGGGCAGAAATTCCCAGCTTTGGCCTCCCTCTGGAAAATATAGCTTGGTGAGGAGAAAGAGTCCAGGGATGAGAATCTGGAGATCTGGCTTCAGGCTTTTTGGCTTTGAGCATGTTCCTGGACTACCCTGTCCCAGACTGCCCTGTCTTGGTTTTCGCCTTTGTTCTATCTTTTCCACAGAAATTAGAAGGTAGAAATTAAACATGCACATTGAAGATTTTTTTTTTTTTTTTTTAAAGATGACCGGTAAGGGGATCTTAACCCTTGACTTGGTGTTGTCAGCACCATGCGCTCCCATTGAGCTTACCGGCCATCCCTATATGGGATCCGAACCCGTGGCCTTGGTGTTATCAGCACCACACTCTCCCGAGTGAGCCACGGGCCGGCCCACACATAGAAGATTCTTAATCAGACATTTGAGCCCATCAGTGACCTGGGCCCATCCCCTTTCCAGCTGGTGCTTGGAGTCCTGGAAGGAGAGTGGCTTTGGAGAGAGGCTGACTTTACTACTTCTTAGCTGCAACTGACTGAGCAATTCCTTAATGTCCCCAGTCCCACGAAATGGGGATGTCATGTGTACCTAGTAGGGTTGTTCCTGGAGTGAAATGAGATGATGCGGATGAAGACCCTACTTAGTGTCTGGAACTCGAGAGCATTCCATCCACATTAGTGTTCTCATCTCCCATTTGTTCCTAGGCAAGCCCTGCAGCCCAGGGTAACAGTCAACAGCGAGATGCATACTCTATTCTTTCCCAGAGGGCCTTGGGAAGTCCTCTGCCTGGGAAGTCCTTCCCTTTTCCACGTGTATAAATCTTATTCACGCTTTAAGGCCCACTTCAAATGCCACCTCTTCCATGAAGCCTGCACTGAATCCTGCCCAGCCAAAGCAAAGTCTCCTTTTGAACATTCAGAACAGTTCTGGCACATACATTCCACCTCTACTTCACATTACTAGTTGGACATCTTGTCGTATCTCCTCTCTCTGATAGATTACCTTCTTGATGACAGAAATTATGTCTCCCCTACAGTTTCTAGCATAGATGAGCCCATAGCATCAACTTGGAACTTGTTAGAATTACAAATTCTCAGATCTACCTCAAAAACTCAGTGAGTTTAGGGGCCAGCCCGTGGCTCACGTGGGAAAGTGTGGTGCTGACAACACCAAGTCAAGGGTTAAGATCCCCATGGGCCGGCCTGGTGGCGCACTGCTGCAGTGCGCCGCTTGGGAGCGCAGCGGCGCTCCTGCCGAGGGTTCGGATCCCATGTACAGACCGGTTCCCACTCACTGGCTGAGTGAGGTGCGGGCGCAGCACCGAGGGTGGCGATCCCGTTGCCGGTCCCGGTCCGGTGCGGGCGCGACACTGGGGGTTGCGATCCATTGCCGGACACGAAAAAAGACAAAAAGGAAAAATAAACATGTTTAATGTTGGGAATTGTCCTCTAATCACTGTTTTAAATATATTCCATATATTCTGATATGTGTAATGCATTTGCTATTTTAAAAAATATATAACTATTTCATATGTGAAATTTCAGTTTATATTTCTTTCATCCAAGAGTAGTGAAATAGTTACATCTAAAAGTAATAAATTTCTCGTAAAACTATTAAACTTCAAAGATAAAGAGAAAAATCTCCCAGGTCTCCTGACAAAAAGACAAATAAGTTACATAGGCAAAAGAAATAGATGAGCATCAGACTCTTCTAAAGCATCATACAAAGTAAGGCAATAATGGAGCAATGTTAAAAAAAAAAAAAAAAAAACTCAGTGAGTTTATTTAATAAGCCCTCCAAGAAATTCTGATGCCTGTGAATGTTCAGGACCACTGTAATAGGGTTTGCTGAATGAATAAATGATGGGATGATAAATTAAAGTACAGGTGCCATAAAAATGCATGGCGATAACAGTAATGATGACCAGGTCCTTATAGCCTCAACCACTGCACTGGTAAGACAGAATCTTCAGATCCCACGTCATCCAGGCCCAGTAATTGGTTTAAGTTACAATAGACTGAACAGACATGGGGCTAGCCAAAACAGGTCTGTGCATGCTTGTGTGTCTGTATAAAGTGTGTGTATACGTTTGACAATCCTCAGCATGCAGGAAAATTCAGCTTAGAAGAGGTAAAAGGGTAGGTGGGAATGGCATTTTTTCCTGAGGCCTTTCTTGTAGGCAACTATAATTAAGGAGGTACCTTGTTGGACAAAAACTCTGCCAAGGATTTCCTGGCTGAGGTTTTTTTCTTCCAAAGGAAGGGGGGTGGGGTGAGAAACCAACCCAAAGCCCAATTACTTTCACATTTTAGGCAAAGTTAAGCGGCAATTAGAGGGAACAGGGTTTAAAGCAACAAAAAGTGCAGTTTTGATGAGAACTTCAGGGGTTCTTTCCAACATTCAGCCTCTCTCCTATACACATCAGGCAGAGGCCATGATCCTAATAAGGAGGAAAACCAAAGGAATTCCTGAGAGAGACAGAATACACATTGGACATTTCCTGACCAAGAAGCCACTTCTGGGCACCGATGAGAGGAACGGTTTGCTTTATTATAGTCCTCATCCTCCAGAACCTAGAAGGCATGTGCCAGTTTGTATGACGGAGAGTCTTTTCTTCCTGTCTAGATCCTGGTCTCTGTCTGGCCTCCTCCTTTCCCCAGCTGATCATAACTGGAGAGAGAACTAGCCATTTGTGCGGCTCTTCTGACTTTCTCTAAACCCTTGGAGTAAAGTGCCTGCTTCCCAGACTACCTCCTGCCAACTGGGCCTCCCCATCCCTAACACCCCATCCCTGGCTTTGGTGGCCCAAGTCTGTAGGCTCCAGAGTCCGCTCTGTCAATGGCCCAGGCAGCTCTGTCAAATTGAGATGGGGCCATTGGCAACTCTGTTCCTTTCCACAGCTGATGCCGCCTGGGCAGGGCCCCAGAAAAACAAACTGCAGCTCTGAGGCTTTCTGGCAGCCTAGCTTTGACTTTTGTTTTAACAAGGGGTGGGAAAGAGAATTTGAACCCTGTGGTTATCCGCACTTTAAAACATTTAAACACAGTCCATCCACCTGCTCAGCACTTTGTGTTCTTTAGTAAGTTTCTCAGCCCCACCCCTTCTAAAGTAGCAACAAGGATTCTGTGCCCTTCTTTGCTACTGCTTATATATTTATTTGAAGGTGTGGTGGGGACATCTTGAGCCCTGCCCCTCCCGCATTGGACTGCCCCTGGAATTCCTCAGAAAGGCAGGCAAAACAGTCCTGAGTCCTCAAAAAGGAAAGGAGAGGGTGAGGGAGAGGTACTTTCTGGAGGAACTACTCCTGCTGGCTACAAAATACAACTGCACTTTGGAGGGAGAGACTTCTCGGCCAAGAGTCTAATTTTCTTTCCAGATCAGTGGTCTTTCTAACTGCTTTCTTAACTCTTCTCTGATGTGGGGGAATGGGGAGATGAGAAAGGGAAAAAGGGCAGGGGAGATGGTGGGAGTAGGGGCATGGTTTGAAAAACAAGCACAAAGTTTGTTTCTAAACGGAGGCAGCGAGGAGGGCTTAGAATTATCTGGAGAAACAGTCTACAGTTTCCTCTCTCAAGAGACATTTGTAAGAACCACAGCAATGTCTTTCCTTGGTGCCTCTCTACCCGAAGGACTCCCCCATCCTTCTATGCTTCGCTATCTCATCTGAGTTTCAAGAAGATCAGAATACAAAGTGTGTTAGTCGAAGCAACCCTGGGTCACCCCCTGAAGACCATAACAATGTCACCACTGCTGTACAACTGTGGAAGATGCAAGCAGTTCTGGCCTCAGCCCAACCAGTGGCATGACAAGGATTGTCCCCACATGGCATGTAGCTGACAGTAATGGGTTAGAGAGACACTTCCAGATGCTTCAGTTTGAGAGCCGAGGAAGAAAGAAAAGTGGCTGAACCTCAAGATTCCCTCTCTCCAGGTAGGCTCTGCAGGCAGGGACCTTGGGGAAGACTATTCTTTTGAGAGGGACCCTCAGAAACAGAGGCAGCTCTGTGAGGCTCTACGGTGAATTCTGGAAGTCCCTGGGGTTCTTATAAGAAAACGGCATTATGGCCATCTAGAGCTCAGACTAGCACTGACAGCCAAGCAAGCTTTCTTTGCAAAGACAGCAAGCCTGGGCTTCTGGGCTGGCCCAAGGAAGGGCCTGAGTTACTGTCAGCTGCTCCGCACATATGGAGAGGGAATCAAGGAGAAGCCCAGGCAGGGGCTTCTGCAGCAGATCTGGCAACCAAGGCCTCTTAAAGGGCTCAGGCCATATTCTCTGGTCTTCAGCCCACAGTGTCCAAAGAGCACCAGGACACTCCTCTATACAGGAATCACTCTGGAACCCACAAACAGAGTACTCACCAACACTGTCCCCAAGAGAATCAGAAAAGGGGTGATCAGCCCCTGGTTTCGCAACAAGCAGAGGCTGTAACCGAGACTCTGGGAGATCAAGAAACCCCTGGGTAAGGACTTACACCAGAGTTCATAGTAGTAGTTGCAGCACTGAGACTGTCCACAGCAGTGTCCTGTGTCACAGATGTAGCTTTGATTGTTGGTGCCCACACAGGCTTCCTTATCCTAAAAAATCAAAAAGCATTTTAGCATATTAAATTATAACTTTTAAACACTTTTCTTCTCATCCCCCTCCTCCTGGTCTTCTGCCCGCCTGCCCCCAAAACAGTTTCTACCAGTGCTTATTCCATTAACAAAAAAAATTTTTTAAAGAACCACACAAAAATGACAGCAGAGCTTAGGAAAAAAATATAGTTTATTAAAAGGGTGAGGGGATTCAGCACAAAAAACCAACTGGGAAAGAGCAAAGTTTTCTCAGACAGGAAAGTGTTGCCTCACTTTCTTTATGTCCAAGCAGAAACACTTCGGTTCCAGTGTTAAACACAGCTGGTAGGAAGGTGACAGTTCTCCTGTAATTAGCAGTATGTTTTAAATGAAACTGGCTTTTCTCTGAAACTTCCCGGAATAACTAACGCAACATGTATTCTAGGATTAGCATCTAGTTGGTCATTCCATTCTCTCCTAAATACAACACTCACCAAGGTTAATTTACAGTATGATTCAAAAGAAGGCTAAAAAAAAAATCTGCTACTGGGCTGGCCCGGTGGCGCACTGGATAAGTGCGCCGCTTGGGAAGTGCGGCGGCGCTCCCGCCCGAGGGTTCGGATCCCACATACAGACCGGTTCCCGCTCACTGGCTGAGCGAGGCGCGGG